TGACGGATTACGTATTCGCCATGTACGCAGCCATTGGCGCAATATTGTACGCAGCCATCGTCCCATTCTGGTTCTATGGAGGCGCATTCCTGCGCTCAAAGTGGGGCTATACGTTGGGAACTGCTGATGCCCTCATGCTGCTCGTGGAGGGCGGGATGGTTGTGCTGAGCCCTCCGCTTGGCTGCTTGCTAAATGCCTACTGCAAGAAGACAGTTCCGCGTTTGGGGTTCATGATGGGAGCTTCGTCTGCCATATTAATGTCAATTGTTTTGTTAGCGTTTATGCCACCAGCACTTCCAGCAATGCTCGCCATGTTGCTGCTGAGCACTAGTTACGCAGCTGCCAACACAGTATTCTGGTCTTTGAGTGCAGACCTCATTCCTCCTGGCATCTCTGCGCTGGGTTCTGGCATTCTGGGCAGTTCCTTGAACTTGGGCTCATCGGTCCTACCGATTGTTATGGCCAATGCTTCCAGTGAGAAGGCGGCGCTGATGCTTCTAGGTGTTGCGGCCTTCCTGTCGGTCTTGATAATGCTGTGCTTGTGTATTGTACTTTCCCTCAGCAAGAGACGCCTCTTAATTCAGGGTGGAACCGTGATTTCTCCTCTGACAGAAGATATCTAGCCACAAGTGTACAGATCAGCAGCCGAGACAGTATCCCTCCCTCTCAGTGTTAGGACCTGGTGTCTGCACTATGCGCCTCAGACCCTCGGTTGTAATACTCTTCTTCTCTCCTGGTTTGCCTGGCGCATCCCGAATTGCTTTGTCCACTGACAGGTTCGAACCAGCAATTTTCTCATCTGGGTGGTGTTGACCGTGTTTCGTCTCGCTCATTAGGCCGCCTCCAGGCCGTCACATTTTTCACTTGCATCATCATAGCAATTGGATCGGATGTACAGGGTATGATGTTGACGCACGTATTCGTTTTTCCCCCCAGACACTGCTTACATTTAGGTTTTCTTGCTCCGGGTGCAATGAACTGGGTGCCACGTGGTGCAGATTCTTTCGGTGTGGCCATGGGCATGGGCTGCGTCATGGGTTGCGACCACGTGGCGCAAACGCTCCGGCGCGGCCACAGGATGCGCTCATAGGTTGCGCCATGGGTTGCGGCCACGTGGAGCAGATTGATCGGTGCGGCGATAGGTTACGCCCGTGGGTTGCGCCATGGGTTGCGGACGGGTGCCGCCGATTTTTCGTTGCGGCTATGGGCTGCGCCTACAGGTTGCACCACCCCACGTGCCGCTGATTTCCGGTGCGCCCATAGTTGCTTTGCGTTGCAATGCGTTGTGCTGTTTTGCATCGTTTTGCTTTGTTTTGCGCTTCTTTGCATTGAGTTGCATTGCTTTGCGTTGCTTTGCGCAACTTAGCGTTGCATTGCTCTGCGTTGCTTGCACTGCCTTGCGATGCTTGCACTGCGGCGCATGTCTTCGCAATGCTTGCATTTATTCGCATGGTTTCGTATTTGTTTGCATTGCACTACATATTTGCATAATAGCCATATTCATACTCATATGTGTATATATATATAGATATAGACCTATAGATAAATGTCCCCGCGCACGAGGTCCAGGCGCCCAGAGCCCGGGCCACGACGGCGCATGGGGAGACCGGGGGCCCAGGCCCGGCCCAAGAAGCTGCCAAGGCGCCTCGGGGAGGCGGACAAAAAACGTTCCCAGACGCTGACAACCATCCCCGGGAGGCCCACAACCACCTCAAGACGCTGCAAGATTGCTGCCTGACGGCCCCAAACGCCCCCAAGACGCTCCAAGAGGTTTTCAATAGGCCCCCCGAGGGCACCCCAAGAAGCAGAAATCGGCAAACATCATATGTTTTTCCAAAGTTTTCCGTGCTTCCTTTTTATTAGCTTGCAGACGCTCCCAAACAGCCCCACAAGCCCCAAAGATCGCCCCAAGACGGGCTAAGAGGCCCTCAAGAGAGCGCCGGGACGGCCCAGAGCCGAAAGTGAAACCGACGCTTTCAGTTTTCTGTCCCCGAAAGCCCCCAAAAGGCTCCAAGACCCCCCAAGAGGCTTCCGAAAGGCCCATGGAGGCTCCCAAGAGGCCACCAGTCACCCCCAGAGGGCCCCAAAAAGGCCCCCAAGAAAGCTCCAAAGAGCCGGGGAACGACCCCGATGCACGACGACGGGACCATCCAGGAGACCTCGACAAACACCCACGAGTCCTCCGACATACAACCCAGGCACCGAAAGGGTAAACACCTCCGGCGCGCCCGACCGTACATGCGGAGCGGCATGTGTACACAGCGATGGCTGCAACGGACGTCGTCGACGGTGCTTGCAGTAGCTTGAGTGGCCGTGGTGACGGAGGCGCTGTGGTGCAGCGGTGCCGTGACTAGAGCCTAAGCGCGCGCGAAGCGCGCGCGTGGATCTAGTGCAGATGTATATGTGTATAGATATACATATGTGTGTATATCTATGTGCGTATATACATACATATATATGTGTGTATATACACACTGACTAAGTTATCGCTTGGGGTCCACACCGGAATCAGATCTTGCTAGCAGGAGAGAACACTATTTGAATCACATTCATGCGAACAGCAATTATAATTCTTATGATAGCGGCGACGACATTGATATCAATTCGATCTCAAAGTACGTATTCGAAACTGACCAGTCAAACGGCGTATGTTCTTCCTTGTCGTTCAGCGTCGACCCCGACGTCCAGGAGGAAGGTTCAGGGGTATGCGTCCTCTGGTCTTTCTCCGTCCTGCCGGTGCCCCCCTCTTTAGAGCCTTTTCCCCACCCTCAATCCTTCGGGATGGGCCGCCGGGGGAGGTAGCGTGGGGGCTGGCAGGACCGCGGCGATCCCACTCCTGGAGGCTTCCCGCTCCCGATGTTCCACCCTCTGTCCCACACTTGTCCCTGCGATGTTTTGGCAAGGACGCCTCTCCTCGTAACACCGCCAGTCCCCCTGGATGGATGAAGCAGGGCTCTCGAGGAGCCTGCAGGGCTCTCGAGGAGCGGGGGAACGCACTGAATCTGCATGGAGACTCCATGGCCTCCAAGGAGCTTCAGGGGCCTCCAGAGGCCTCCAGGGCATTCGGAGTCTTCGAGTAAGCCTCCACAGGCTTCCTGTGGCTTCCCGGGGGCCGTCGTTACAGCGAGGATGGTTCCCGTGGCTGTCTGGCTTCCTCGGCGCCGTCAGGGCCTTCGGGGTCTCCACGGAGCCTCCAGGAAAGGGCGGGCATCTGGGAGTAACGTCCCCCGACGTTGTCCACAACTCGTGGCCGCACTGGGCGTGCACAGGGTTTTCGACCCAACCCCGCGAGGGGCGGGGAGGGGGAGGAGGAGGAGGAGGAGGAGGAGGAGGAGGAGGAGGAGGAGGAGGAGGAATAGGAGGAGGAGGAGGAGGAGGGAGTGCGGCGGGAAGGGGGATCCTCCTCCTCCTCCCTCCTCTCCTCCTCCTCCTCCTCCTCCTCCTCCCCTTCCTTCTCCTCCTCTCCTCCTCCTCCTCCTCCTCCTCCTCCTCCTCCTCCTCCTCCTCCTCCTCCTCCTCCTCCTCCTCCTCCTCCTCCCCCTCCTCTTCCTAGACAGAGTCCCAAGAGGCCACGTCCTGCATTGCTGTATATTTCGGCGGAGGCTTGCGAACATGTTAGACAACCGTTTACCGTATTCTGGCCTTGCAAAGAGCAGTGCAGGAGGATTCCGGCGTTTGCCCTGTTGGCATGCAGACCGCGCACGCATGTCACCGCGCATGGAGCAGCAGTTCTTCGAGCACTGCGACGCTTTGCCGAAGGAGGACCCCTTTACATCAATTTCGCCAGGCACCAATCGGACGACCGATCGCAGATCGAGGAGGTGAGCGACGCCAGCAGCAACCCACCTCATGCGGGATTCGCCCAGCAGCCCACGGCCAGCGCTGCTCTCCCACACCGACGGGCGCCGACATCGACCGCACGTAATGCTGCGAACGCGAGACAGAGCAGCAGCACCCATCCTCCGTTGCAGCTTCAGCACCTGATCGACTGGTCCGCGGGTGGCGACTTGGCGCCTGGCCCACTTCCGGCGGACGGGGATGTCACTGCGGAAGCTGTTCAAGTGCACGCGGGAAGTGGCGGGCCCACCTTTCCAGATTCGGACGGGGCCGCGCAGCGCCCCCTTCTCGCCCCGCAGTCGGACAGCCAGGATTGACAATTGTTCTCCTGGTTGGCGTCGTGCCTGTTGAAGCAGCAGCTGATGGAATGGGCGATGAGGGCGGCAAGGGGGCCTCGGAGGCGGTGCTGGGCGGCAGTGACACGGCGCTCATTCAATGGGACTTGCGGAGCGCGCCAGGTCCAGAGGAGTGCTCGGAGGCGTCCGCGTCGTTGCCGCCGCCTGTTCGGCGATTCACGGGCAAGCCCCCTCCCCGCATGGTCACCCTCGCCCTGGGGCTCAAGATCCCCCGCGCTTCGCGGAGGGGCGCGCTGAGAAGTAGCTCTGCATAAGAGAAAGAGCAGTCCGACAGGAAATCGACGATTTGATTGACTGGTGCGCCCCGTGCATGGCGGTGCCCTTGGAGCGGCCGCGCTTCATTATGCCGTTCGCGCGTGCCTCAAGCCCCACCTGCCTCTCTCTCCAATTCGCTCTGGCTTCGGACATGGGGCATCTGCGAGCCTTCGTGGACGAGGACGGCACAGAGGCGCAGCAGGAACGCGGCGGCCATGGAGTCGTTGAGGGGCGAGGCCTGGAGCCGAGCCGCTGCGCGGCGCATGAGTGCGGTTGCCGATCGGGGTTTTACTTGATATTCGCTGGGTTTGCCCAACCCGACCAGGAGAAAGCTGCCGGCAGCCCGCCCAGCGGGGCGCGGCGGCCCTGCGCGCTGGCCGCAGCCCGCGGGGGTCTCTGCAAATTTGGTGGGAGACGCATAAGATCCACATGCTTGGATCGGTGACGCGGCGGACTCTGACAGGTGCAGCTCAATCACAACCAGCGTCGGGCGTCGCCAGCGCGCGGTCGGGCCCGCTGTCGCCGCCCATCGGCGGGCAGGTTCCTCCAGGCGGAGCGGTTTCCGGAGGTTGCAGCTGACGTCGTTACTGCGAAGCCTCAAGCTCCGAAAATATGGCCCCCGCGACGCTGGCCGACTTGTCCTGCTAGTGGAAGCTGCGGCGGACGACCCAGCTCACTCGCGCGACGACTGCGAGATCCTGCAGACGGTCATCCTCAAGTTCCCGGAGCAGTGGATCCCAAACATTTTCTTCCAAGTCGAATATCTCGACGACAGACAGCATGGGATGGTTTGGCGCACCGCGTTCGCGCGCGCGCGCAGCGTCTGCAGCCCTTTCCGACCACCTCTGCGCGGACGAGGAGCACGGCGACCCCTTGCACTTGTTCGCCCAGGGTTTGCGTGAGGACATCTGGGGGCGCGGCAAGGACAAGAGCGAGGCGTTGGTCAACAAGCTTCTGGCGATACCTGGCCATGAGATGCGGTAGCGACGCGCCCTCTTTCGCGCCCAATATGAGAGCCTCAAGGGATGGACACCCCCATCATACTCAACCCTCGGCGTCGCAGACACTTCGCGGCGGCACACATGGCGAAGAAGTCCCCAGGGGGGGGGGCAGGAGATTCAGACTCCGCGCCCCCCCACAGCAGCCCCTCAGCGACAGCCACTCACTCCGCACCA